AAAAACAAAAACAAAGAATGGAATAGTTTGGCCATAGGGTTTGCATGACCTTGAACTAAACCTTATCTGTGGAGCCCATATATGCAAATTCACCTACTCACTAAGCTCAGTGTCAATCCTCACAAGGCTTTCAGGGCCATTGTCCAACATGCACTGAGCAGCCAGACATCTGAGTCACGCTACGAGCAGGTTCCCAGCCGAGACAAACAAGCCGGTGCCCTGCCTTCATGTTTCAGCGCTCATACTGTAAATGAGTGTCCCTTCAGCAGTCTATTTAGAGGCACTTCGGGTGGTTTTGCATTTTAGTGCTTATTTGTGGTGATTTCACTGTTCAAAATGTATCCCCTGCATGGCACAGAGCACTGTTTACTGTTTCTAAGTGCAAGTAGGCTGCAGCGTGCCTTATGAAGAAAAGACGCATGCTGAATAAGCTTCATTCAAGTGTAAGTTACTGTGCTGTTGGCTGTGAGTTCAATGTCAGTGAATCAATAATAATATACATTAAATAAGATGTCTTTAAACAGAAACATATGTAAAATCGGTTATGTATTTTTGGCTAGCAAAAGGATTGTCGCTATAGTCTTACAGAAACTAAACCCAGTAGTTCCCATAGAGCAATGATTCGCTATTCACTCAGTGTCTACAATCACTTTATAGAATGTAATTACTGCAAATAAAGAAAATAGTCTGTGCCTTAAGATTATTTCCCAAAATGGTTGTGCTGTTTACACTCTGAGCAGTAGTGGGCTATGTGGTTCTCATCTTTCACATCCCCATCAAAATTGGTTGTTATCCAGCTTTCTAATTTTTGTCATTTTTATCAGGCTAAAAAAGCTACCTTTCTGTATAACTTGTATCTTTCAGATTACTAATAAATACGAGCACCTACTAACCACTAGCACATCCCCTTATCGAGAAACTTGGCTCATGGCTTCAGATTTCCTATTTTATTACTTTGGATGACTTTCATATGTCCGTTTCTTGTCAACTATAAATACTACAAACATGTTTTCTCAGTGTGTACTGTGTCCCTCTTTGAGTAGAAATCCTTAATTTTATAGAGTCAAACCCAACGTGTTGTTTACATTATGATCTCAAGGTGTTTGGCCTTTCCTTCCACATATAGTGTAAAGGTATTTTGAACATTTTCCTTTATTACCTTCCTAGTTTTATCTCCCACACTTGAATCCATGCAGAGTCTCTGTTTAAAGCATGAGGAAGGAGTTCCTCTTTCTTTTCTTCCATTGGAAGCCATTTTTCTCAAATCTATTCTTTAAAAATCTGTCCTTCCTAATCATTTTATAGTGCTATCTTTGTTAATATCAAATTCTTATTCACCTCAGCTGCTTCTGAGCTACCTAGTTTTTTCTATTATCAACTTGTCTATTGCCATGCCAAATATATTGTTTTATTATTATTTTCAAGTATATCTCTCTTTCTATGGGACACAGGAAACCCGTTCAATCCTCTCATATAGTTCAAAGTTGACTTAGGTTCCCACTTGTTTTTTTCTTCCATTTAAATTTTGAAATAAGTTTGTAAGCGCCCTCAAAAATCCACTGATAATTTGGGGAGATTACATTATGTACCCCTTCACTTATTTGGTATAGCTCCCTAGTTATTCAAGTCTTTTTTATGTCTTTCATTCAGGATTTTAATTGTTTGTTTGTTTGCTTTGTTTTATGAGACAGCATCTTACTATGTAGTCGAGGTGGGCCTTGAACTCGCTATGTAGCCCAGGTTGGCTGCAAACTCACAGCAATCCTCCTGTCTCAGCCTCTTGACTGCTGGGATTACAGGTGTGTGCCACCACATCTGATGGGGATTTTAATTTCTGAAACAAAAATTGTAATAACTTTTAGTACTAAGAACTTCATTATTTATATTACTATTATGAAAATCATTTAAAACGTTTTAAGTTATTATGCTAGAAAAAGGAAATCACTTTCTAGCTAGTATAGAGGTTCACATTATGATCCTACAGACTGAATTATTATTACTTTGTTATTACATGTATGTATACTTGTATGGACACATTAGAAGAGTGAAGCCAGGTGAGGATAGGAATTGGGCCTGTCTTTCTCATGTCTGTACCC